ATATATATATATATATTAAAGCACTTAGTTATTCGAGTGCTATATGGAAATAAACAATCGAATAGATTTGAACTGGAAGTCATTGAATATTTTTTCCGTAATTCTTTTGTTAATTTAATCCTCGATTGTTATAGATGTTAGTAGCACCTTAAGCGGATGAAAAAGTAAATTGAATGACAAACGTTTATTTGCGTATGGTAAGAACAATAAATAGTGGTACATACATAATCGAAAGATTTAGTTAATGTATTATTCAAACAGAATATTATTATAAAGTAAATTAATTTTTTGTGTTTAAAACATTTCTTTTTTTTTTCTTCTTTTTCTCTTCTCTTCTCCTTGTTTTTTTTGTAGTACTTGAACATGTTGATAGAATATGGGTATAGTATATAAAGTTTTCTTTATGTCGTGTGCTCGACAATGGAGAATAGAGAGAAACGACAAATTGCACAAAAATGCAACATGGTTTCTCTGGCGTTTTTTTTCTTCTTCTTCTTTTTCTTCTATTCTTCCAGTTGATGCATTCTGCCACGATTTTTTTCCCTTATATATTTGTCTCTCTATGTTTGTCAGTAAAACTTAGTGATTCCACTGAGTTTAGTTAGTCAAGTGAGTTTCTTAGGTGTGAATAGAAGGAGAAAATCGAATGAACTATCTGATTACCTTTCTCCTATATAGAAATAGTAGACTGTAGAATAGTCCCTCAACAATTTTTCGATTCTATTTATTGATAGCGAGCGGTGAGAAAACGTATGAAGTATTGACTTAAATATTTTATATTTTTCCAACATAGATACTCGTTTATTCTTTGTTCTTTAGAATTTTCCGATTAAAAATCTTCACTAAAGTAGATATATAAGGAGTTATTTTATTCTTCATTATTACCTCTTTTGTCATAAGAATAGAAATGCAAGTTTAAAGAGGAAACAACGCATACACGCACGTCATTTTTCTTTATGAGTATTTTTTTATTAGTTAGTAAGGTCATTTGCTTCCGTCTATGTATAATCTTTTCCATTCACACCATAAAAAATGTCATTCGTTGTCTTCTTTTTCTATGGTTGTTTTGTTTTATTAAAGGATCAATTCACATTGTTATTAGATTTATTGGGAAGACTAATTTTTTTTTCTTTTGGATAACGGATATTATTTTTCTTCTTACAATAGATTTATTTTTCAGACAAATTTTTAATGTATCAATTGTCTTCGATCATATAAAATCACATTTATCTCGACCTGTCATCTAAGATAAATAAACATTTCAAAATCAACATATGGCATGAATTAACTTCATTTGTTTTATATAATCATATAACAAAAGTCAAAAAAAAAGAAGAAATCAATTGAAAAGTGAAAGAAAAAGCTTTCTTTCTATCAAACAAGTAACATTAATAATCATCACTACATGCTGATCTCTTACTAAACATGTAGTGCATATTAATTTATCCCTGTCAAAATAGTATATTATGTAGTGACATGTGAAAGGAAATCGTATTCTTTATTTTTTTGATTAAGTAAGTAAACACAATCTGATTCTTCCTCCTATCCAAACGAGTGTATATATAAGTCTTCGAATTTTAATAATTCTTTTCTTAACATGATGGTATAATATATCACTATTGTTAATTCTATTCTTTTCTTTCAGATGATTACAAAACATTAGTTATGTCTAATGCTAATACTTCTCACAATGAGATTACTACAGAGATTAATAGTAATAATAATACAAACGCTGGTATGGGACGATCAGTTAGTAGTGCACGTTTTCAAGTAGCGAAGGTGTCTAGTAATGATTCGAATACCGATACATCATTGGGGAAAGCAATTAGTATTCCAAATAGTATGTTAAAATAAAATATAAATGATTTATATTATTTATTTTCTTCTAAATAAGGTTTACCATCAATCGTTCAACCATCGTCAGCTCCAACTGATAAAAAAATTAAAATATTAATTGGTGATGATGATAGTGAACATAGTAGTACAGCATCTGGTTTAGTACTACCAATAAATATTCATAATAACCGTATGCAAATGGAAGATAAAGATAGAGAAATAAATCCTTATGATACAATTGATGCTTTACCACATGTTGATCATTATAGAAATTTATTTTCAGTAACATCGCCTGGACCAAAAAGTCGACCAACACTTGAAGCATTACATGAAACATCACATTTTTCATCAAAACTTCGATTAGGATCAACAATTGATTTAAACAGTGAAATGATAAGTGTAGTAGAACCACGAATGGATCAACCATCACAATTAGATATAAAACCAAGAATTCAAGTTGTAAAATTTGGATGGATTGTTGGTGTTCTTGTATGTTGAAATATTGGATTAAAAATAAACAAATAACTATTTCTATTTAGATTCGATGTGTATTAAATATATTTGGTGTTATGCTTTTTCTTCGTTTATCATGGGTTACGGGACAAGCTGGTATGGGTTTAGCATGTCTTATCGTTATAATTTCAACAGCAGTAACCGTTATAACAGCTGTATCAATGAGTGCTATTTGTACAAATGGAGAAGTTAAAGGTGGTGGAACATATTATTTAATATCTCGTAGTCTTGGTCCTGAATTTGGTGGTGCTATTGGTTTAATTTTTTCTTTTGCTAGTAACAATTTGACTATTGCGTAAATATATGTTATTTATAAATTTTTAATAGATGCAGTTGCAGCTGCTATGTATGCAGTTGGTTTTGCTGAAACAGTTCGTGATCTTCTTAAAGTAATATAAATAATAAAAGAAGAATAATCTAATTTCATAAAGTAAAAATGTTTTTTAGGAACATGGTGTAAAAATATTTGGTACTGTTGTTGATGGAAATTCTGTTAATGTTGTTCGAGTAATCGGTAGGAGTTTATTTTTTCGAAAGATTTTCCTCTTACAATATAAAATTTAGGTGTTATTACAATGACATTTATATTAGGTATTGCTTTGATTGGTATGCGTGGTGAAACTGTTGTACAAATAACATTACTTATTACATTATCAGCATCTTTATTAAATTTTTTTAT